GCTCTAAAACCTCACGGAGGGATTTTAAGTAACTTATAGGGAGGGAATGGCAAGAGGAAAGCAGAAAGAAACACGGCATAGGGGAAGGAGAGAGGAGAAATGCAGATAGGGTTGAGGGAGACAGAGCTGGAAGCACAGCGGTGGGACAGGGATGCTGTACAGTGTGATTTTTTTTTCCCCACTGACTGATGGTGATACAGCCATGAGACCCTGAATGTATTAAAGCTAATGCTCCATCAGAGCCTTGCACTCCGTGCTTCTGCTGCCCTTTTAGGACTAGCTCAGCTCTGTTTAAGGATGAAAGATTCCTGCATTTAGCCCTCATTCATGAGTCATAACAGTGGCACAGTGGGGTTTGAACCTCCGTGTGCTGGACCCTTCTGACACACATGAAACAGGGAGGTTTCCTCTAATAAATATTTCTCCTTCAACGCGCATTTCTCCATTGTCTCTAGATAAGAAACTGATGTAGCAGATGCAGTAGCATCGCTTTCTCTGTGACAACATCCTTGCAGCGTGATGTATCACAACATCACCGTCAGAGCAGGGCACGTACTTGATTTATTACGATATTTTTTTCCTTTTTGGAGGAGAAAAAAGTCAGGCAATGGAAAAATTAGTCTTATCTGCAGTTTATGGCCCTTCCACCCTTAAAATGCATAAAGAGTGTTGGAGCAGCACAATGGGGCTTTTAGGGATGCTCAAGGTGACTGGAGAGAGGGCAGGATCCCACAGTCTGAGGATGGGGAGCTCGAGGCACTGTGAAGTGAAGCGAGTTGCGTCCAAGCTCAGCAAACACAAAGAGCTGGAAATAGCAGCCAGGAGGTTGTGCAGCGCCTTCCTTGCAATCACTAGACCACATTCTGTGTAATAACAGAGTGGACACAAACACACGCACACATTAAGCCCATTCCTCCCTTCTCTTGGGACATGGATGAATCATGTTCCACTGCTGCGGTTGATAAAGGTCTTTAGAAGTCAGAGAGGGCCCCAGATTCACTCTGTTAAGGAAGAACTTGTAAAGGCTGCTTTATAAAACCTCTTGGCAATTTCTCCTGCATTTCCAGACCCCCTCATTGCTTCTGTGGTGCCGAACATCTTCCCCTTCTCTGGAGATCACGTTTCAAGTTGCCTCAAGACACGTCAGCAGTGGTCTGGATGCTTTCCATTTCAGCTCAGGAAGATATTTGCACTGATCTGAGTCTTATAATGTGGAGGACAAAGCACTAAAGCAGCACAGTGCATTTTCACTTGGGTGGGAAGGTCTGTGGAAGGGAGGAGTGATGCTCAGGTGATGGTGGACAGGCATTTGCAGGCAGAATGAGTTGTCCATCTTCAACCAACCAGAAAGGAAAGTGCCATCTAAGGTCCATCACCCCAGTCCAAACGGAGGCCGGAGGAGAGTGACTGAACTTGCTCTTTCAGGATCTAGTGGCACAGACACAGGGTAAATACCCACCTTGATGTATTTGTTACATGCCTGGAGCCCTGCTTTGAGCAGCTGAGGCAAACTGTTTTCTCCACAGCTTTCCAGAACCTTAGCACCAGCATCCTTCCTGCTGTCCTCCTCTCTCCACGCCTGTCCTGAACTCCCATCCCAATCCTCTGTGCGTAATGGTGCACAGCCTCTATCTGACCCCAATATAAGGTCCCCATCCCTGTTCTGACTCCAAAATAAGCCTCCCATCCCTCCACTGACCCTCAAATATGGTCCACGTCCTTCCAGCCTCACAGCTCCCTCTCCATGCAGCAATCCCACCTTCCCAAGGGCAACGGGCACAGCGTTTTCTGTGGGATGTCTCCACCTAAAGCCTTGCTTTTGTAGCCTTCCGAAGGCATTATCAAGCTCAGGTTATTTTTAGGCTCGTTTCCTAAGGAAACAAGATGAATGCATTTGCATGTGCTGTGTGCGAGACAGCGTGTGCCTCTGCTCTGCCCTCCCACAGATAGTTTGAGTTCCTTGGGCAGTTTCAGCTGAGTTGGATGGAGCACTGTAAGGTCTCAAAGAGACCCCTTTCTGATAGACTTGGGGATAACAGTGAACTGGACAGAGGAAGAATTTAGTGTAGTTCCAGAAATTAAAGGCTAATATATTCACCAGACTGACCCCTTCAGCTTTCCCTTCCCTTATTGCACCAGTGCTGGGAGGGAAGCACAAGTCATTGGGGCTCCTGCAAACAAAACCCATCACTTTCAGTCCTTGTTGAGCCCCACATTGAGTGGACAACCCTTTCCATAGGCACACCAGGGTGCTTGAGGGAGTTGGAGCCCTCAGTGAAGGCTTTAATGCCAAGCACAACTGCCTGCACGGAGCCTGCCAGTTACTTGCATCTGCCTGCTCACACTTGTTCATATCCAAAAGCCTTTTTAACAGGGTTCCTTATTTCACGTCTGCCCGTGCTGGCATCAGATAAGGTTCTCTAAGTCAGACACCAGGATTTTGGCCAGGGAGCAGCAGAGAAATTGGTACAGAGAATTTTTAATGTGTCCTTTGCTTCTCGAGGAAGGATGAGTTGAAGGAGAAATTTGGCTCTCCAAGCTTCCAACTTCTTTTTCTCTCCATTTATAGCATTTGCAGGTGAAACAAAATCTTGAGGTAAAGAAAGTTATGATGTCAAAAACATTTCCTATTTCCCCTTCCTTTTTTTTTTTTTTTACCTCTATTTCTGTAATTTGGAGAAAATTTTGTTGTTCATTTCTATACCCCCAAAGCACTTTCTCTCATTTTTTATTTTCCCCCATAAATATATTCCACAAAATATGCACATGGGAAAGTTCCTGGTTTGAGGTGTGAAAAGTGGGCCTTGAGGCCTGATCCACACCACTGATAATCAGAGACCCTGAATTCACAGGAGGATGCTGAATTCTCGGCACCTCCACTAAGGTGGGATTTTTGGGGAGCTATGATTTATTCTATACCTATGGATTTATTCTTCCAAACTACTGACAGACCCAGGGATCAGCATCCCAGCCTGACTCTTCAGGCGCGTAGAATCATCCCATCTATTTATTCAGTCAGATATCCCACTTCTAAGTGTACTTCTGGTGACCGTATCACACATCTGTGCAATGACACTGCTGGGATGCAAGAAACCAGCAATGAGAAACCCAAACAGAAGAATTCCTTGGATCTCGGTTCCCAGACTCAGTGTGGGACCTGGTCTTCAGGTGGAGCAGAAACTCTGTCTTCTGCCCTGACAACATCTGACAGGTACGTGTAAATAAACTCATGAAGAAACTCGGGTCAGCTTCACTGACACAGAAGCTGGATTTTGGGCTGCCTTCACCAGACTTTTAGGAAATGGGCAAATATTGGGATGTTCCTTGGAATCACTGTGTTCTCTTATCTTTACAGAAAACTGGCATTTTGAAACAAAAAGAGAAAGGCCAGACAGCTCTGGGGGTGCAGAGCAGGTACCCCGGGACCTGCTGCTGGGGATTGAGATGCTGTTGGGCTTTTTCCCAGCAGGAAAGTGGCGTTAGGAGCAAATCCTGCCTTGCTGGGGGATGGATGGATGGATGGATGGATGGATGGATGGATGGATGGTGGGTGGGTCGGTGGGTGGGTGGATGGATGGATGGATGGATGGATGGGTGGGTGGGTGGGTGGGTGGGTGGGTGGATGGACGGACAGACGGACGGACGGACGGACGGATGGATGGATGGATGGATGGATGGTGGGTGGGTCGGTGGGTGGGTGGGTGGATGGACGGATGGACGGACGGATGGATGGATGGATGGATGGATGGATGGATGGATCAGTAGGAGCACTGCTGGAATCCCCAGCACGGAGCACGGAGCTCCGCGATGCGGGTGATGCAGGGATGGGCGGGAGGGGTGATAGAGGCTGTGGCGGGGGGAAGAGGAGGGGAGGAGGCGAGGCGGGCCCGGGGCCGGCGGGGGAGGGCGCTCGGCGGCTGCCCGGACATAAAACGGCAGCGCCAGGGCCGGGCGGGCAGAGCGGAGCTGAGCGGCGGCAGAGAGCGGAACGGAACGGAGCGGACCTGCCCCGATCGGACCGGCTCGGCACGGCTCGGATCAGATCGGCCCGGCTCGGGCCGCCCTGCGCTGCGGAGGTGAGGGGAATGGGATGGGGCAGGACGCGGAGCGGGGTCCCCCGGCTGACTCGGGGCTGATCCAAGGGTCCCCGGTCCCGGCAGCGCTCGCATCACTGGCAGGAGTGGGGGGGTCCTCTGTGTGTTTCCCCCCCCCCCGGCTGCAGGCTCGGATCCCGGCCGCAACCCTGACAAAGGGACCCGGTTCTGTCAGACCCGCTCCCGGCACAGGCGGGCTCCCTCCGGGTGTGCTGTAGCGGGGAGCCCCGGGAAAAGGGACTAAAAGCCGCTGCGGGAGAGGATTTAGGAAGCTGGGAGCGCGCTGGCTCTCTGTGCAGTCTCTTCTTTGGCTTGTCCAAGTCACTCCTTGCTCAAGCACGGTTCACCCTGCGCATCCCTATGAGCTGGGAGGCTGTGTCTGGCCATGAAATGCAGGCTCAGCTCTTCCCCACCACCACCCAAAAGCGCCCACAGAGTTTTATCTTTGCCCTTTAGTCTCTCTGAAATTCGCATTAGGATCCGTTTGTGGGGCTCCTCTGAAGCCACACAGGACACAAGGATGGGGCAAGGCTTAGTGTTTCATGGCTGTGGGACCGGTCCTGGGGGGTGCAGGCAGCTGCTGCCAACTTCACGGCACTCCCGGGGCTGCCCTAACATTCTACAGTGGGAAGAGCATGAAGCCATCCCTGCCAGGCAGTTGGGAAACCCTTTCTCTCCATCATCTCCCACATCCCTGCATGGAGCATGGCTTGGCCAGGCTGGATCCGGAGTCTTGTCTGATGAGCCAGGTTTATGTAAGCGCTGATTTGCACTGTCAAGAGATGGCTAAGAATGAGCCTGCCTTTGGAAATGTATAAATACGGCATTTAGCCCGAGCTGTACCCAGCAGCACAGTGTTTGTCTTGGTCCCAGCCCCTTGGAGATGTTCTGCCACCTCTCACCTGCTCTCCACTTGGCTTTAAGTCACTACGAAGTGCTTTCCAGGAGCCAGGATGGAGCAGGAGTGCCAAAAGGCACTGTCACTCTGTCCTTTATAGTGGTATCTAGTGTTGCTTTTCTGGCAGACCTGTGTGCACTCCTTGCATGGACCACAAAGTCCCCTCCAAGCTCACCAGCTTGGCAGGAGACACGGTGCCGTAATGCGGTCCTCCCTTGGCACACTCGGCAGGATGCTGGGCCAGGCAGGTCACCACTCAAAGCTGGGGTGTGACAGCCCTGGCTTTCCTGTTGTTAACATCAGCGTCATTGTGCCTTCCACATGAAAGGTGCTGAGCCCCAGGAGCTGACTTGTGGGGCTGCAGGCAATGCTCTTCCCTTCTTATGCTGTGGAAGAGAAGGCAGCGTTAGAAATAGTTGCTGCCTATTCCAAGAGCCAGGGACTGGGGAGAAGAGCTGACTTGAGACCCCTGGAGAGACAGGGGCCTGATCCTGCCGCTGCTTGCTGCTCCAAATAAAGTGCTTGGCTTGGGATCAGTGGGAAAGCGGGCTGTGCTTGCTGGCAGGCTTAACACCTTGCTGCTTTCTGTCGCAGGTGGGAAGGCAGCAGTAGCTCACTATGGCCCTGGCAGACAACACGGGCTGTGCCAAACCCAGCGAGGACTTCCCCTTCCCCGAGATCATTGAACTCAATGTGGGTGGACAAGTGTACATCACCCGCCACCCCACCCTGGTCAGCGTGCCCGGCTCGCTCCTCTGGGAGATGTTCACCCAGAAGAACGTCCGCTCGCTGGCCCGGGACAGCAAGGGACGGTTCTTTGTGGATCGGGATGGGTTCCTCTTCCGCTACATCTTGGATTACATGAGGGACCAGCAGCTGGTGCTGCCCGACCACTTCCCTGAGAGGAGCCGCCTGCAGCGAGAGGCAGAGTACTTCATGCTGCCGGAGCTCGTGAAGATGCTGGCCCCCAAGCTCAGCAAGCAGAACTCGCTGGGAGACGACCCATGCCAAAGCGACCCCGAGGAGCTCTCCCCCAGCGCGGATGCCACCCGCACCCTAACCTCTGCCAGCACCACGCTCCCCAGCGCTGTGCCTGGTGGCCCCGGGGGTGCCGTCACCACCGGCACGGGTGCTGCCAGCAGCGATGTCCGCAGGGCAGGTTTTATCACCATCGGCTACCGGGGCTCCTACACCCTGGGCAGGGACAGCCAGACGGATGCCAAGTTCCGCAGGGTGGCTCGGATCATGGTCTGCGGCAAGACCTCGCTGGCCAAGGAGGTCTTTGGGGATACCTTGAATGAGAGCAGGGACCCAGACCGGCCCCCGGAGAGGTACACCTCCCGCTACTACCTCAAATTCACCTTCCTGGAGCAAGCCTTTGATAAACTGGCCGATGCTGGCTTCCACATGGTGGCTTGCAACTCCACAGGCACCTGTGCCTTCGCCCATGACCAGACAGATGACAGGATCTGGACCTCTTACACCGAATATGTTTTCTATCGTGAGTGACACCAAAAAACCCAACCCCACACACACCAAGCACCAACTCTCCCTTTCCTCTCCCGTTTCCTAGAAGGTAGACATCCAACCCTGAATCCCAGTGTCCTTTTGAGTTTGTTCTTGGGTTTTTCCCCTCCTCCTTCCTCCACGTTGAACCTCTCCAGCTCTCCCTTGTAGCCGTCGACCACCAACCTTCTTCCCTCTCTCCGACTTCTGCAGTAGCCGCCTGTAGCTCCCAACCCTCCCTGGATGTGTGGACTTGGACACTGTTATGTACTTGTTTGGGGTGGGAGGGGGGCATACACCAGACTGTGCTCTGGGCTGGGATTCCTGCAGCTGGATGAGCTTGTCTGTGTTGGACACTGAACTTGGCTCTCGTGCCCTGTGCGCCAGGAACATGCTGCGTACACTGTATTTGATCTGCCAAGGGGTTCAAGGGAGAAAACTCTGGGTTAAGGACATGCAAAAAGGTGGGAAGCAGCGAGGAGGGTGGGAGGGAGGGGGGTGGATGGAAAGATGCAGCCTCGCAGCATGGATATATTGCCATTAGCCCATGTAAGCAGCTTAGTGTTTAGACTGTCAGTGCTGGGGAAGGTTAGATAAAGGCTCACCCTGTGTTTGCAGTTGGGATTTGGAGTATCACTGCTGCTCTGGGATGCCTTGGGGGTGTTTTGGGGGTGGGAGAGGGTGGATAGATAGATGCTCTGTTCATGTATATGTGGAGGGAGGTGGGGGGAGTGGGGAGGGCTTTATATGCTGTAGGGTGTAAATTGCTTATACTTTGGATGGTCTGTCAGAAAAGTCCCTTCATCTTTCCTTTGGAGTACAATAGTGATGTGAGGGATGGGGCTGGATTGCTCTGGTGAGCAGCAGCCATGACTTCACAGATTAAAGGGAATCTTTGCCCAACATGAAAGCCTTTGCCTTTTGGGCAATCTCTTCGAGGTCCCTGCAATCACAGCTCTCCATGGCCTGCTCCTGGCACAGGGGCTGGCTGCTGCTGCTTCTTCACCATGCCTGGGCAATGGGTAATAAAGGAGCAAAACCAACTCACCTATGTCTTTGTGTGCCAAGAAGCAAAAGCAGCAGTGCTGGTGGTGTGCTGTGTGCACCCAGGGTGTTGCTCCAGCAGCACTACAGCATGTGGGCATGAGGAATGTGATTTCATAGAATCATAGAATGGTTTGGATTTAAAAGGACCTTAAGATTGTGTAGTTCCATCCCCCGGCCACGGACAGGGACACCTTGCATTAGATCAGTAGTACATGGTTATGAATAAAGAGAAGGAAGGAAGACAAACTCACTGGAGCCCTCTTGCCCTGCTCTGACTCCCCTCGTCCTCTTTGAACCCTCGTTCCCACCCCAGCAGGGCTGAACCTCAATGCAGTGAGAGTGCTGGTGCAAGAGGTTGGGTCCAGAGTTACCCACCCCTCTGCAGACCAGCCCTGCGTGATGCCTTCATCCCCATCACTCAAGCAGGGCTCCCTTACACCTACCATACATCCCCAGTCCTCCTGCTCTGCTTCCTGAGCAGCCCTTGTGAAGCTCTAGGTGCAGGGAGCTGAAGGATCACCTCACTGGATGGATGCTGCCCAAAGGGGCTTTACTCTTTGGTGTGCAGTTAAGAGATTGGAGGGCTGGAGTCCTCTGGCGCGCAGGGCAAGCAAAACCATCACAGCCGGACAACCCCTCTCTCCTGAAGAAGGGGAAGGCAAAAATGGTGTTTTGATAAGGGCCTGTTTGTCATTGCAACAGCATTTGAAGAGGAAATGACAACCAGCCTTAAAAAAAAAGCAAAGAAAAGGGAACTTAAGCCCTGTGCAGAAAGAGGCGGAAGGGCAGAATTAAAACCTTCTAAGAAAAGGGAGGAGGGATGTGCATGGCCTGTTGGCTTCTTGGCTTCTTTTTAACTAGAGGCTTTTCTGCTCGTTATTGATTAGGACTGATTGGAGAAAAGAAGTTGCTGCCTTGTGAGAAACGTGGTGTTTGATGTTTGCTTTTCCCCCCTGGAACTGGGCTGCAAAATTGATCTCACTGGAGGAAGCATTTTTTTCTGAGGGGGAAACCATAATGGCACAGTCACCACCGAGATGGTTTTGATCTGTAGGTTACGTGATCTGGACTGTTAAACCTTATACCCCATGTGAAATATGACCAGAGCAGAAGAGCTTACATCTGAGTTACTTTGAGTCTGATGGTCTCCATGAAAACCAATACTTCATGAGAAAATGCTTCTGCTGAGCTCTGGCTCAACAAAAATACAACGATTTGGGGTTGTTTCTTTTCTTTGCGCATCTCTAGTAGTGGAAAGAGCATCCTTTTGCTGCTGCCCATGGCTGAGAGGAGAACCTGCTTGATTTGATCCTTAGGAAAGACTACACATGGAGAAATGGTGCCATGAAAAAGCATCTACTTAAGGTCCTCCCTTGGCATCTCCCACCGCACCCGCTGTTGGTACATGTGGTGATGGAGAGGGGTCAAGGGCACAAGTCACTCCTGGGGAGATTCCAGTTGAACACAAGAGGAGCATTTTTCACCATGAGAACAAGCTGCCACTGGAATCATCTCCCCAGGGAAATGGTGGCTCCCCAGTGTTAGGCACTGTTAAGGTTGGGCTGGACAGGGTGCTGGGACATCTAGTCTTGGTCATGCTTTGCTGAGAAAGGCTGGACCAGCTGATCCTTGAGGTCCCTTCCAACCTGGTATTCGATGACTATATGACTCCCAGACAGGAGACTGCCTATTTTCTTGGCCTTGAGGATGGTTTGAAGGAGACCAAGGGGGTCTCATTCTGGTAACACATCCCTTACAGAAGAGTGTGGACCATCATGGGGAAGAGTGTTCCTTGGGAAGGCATCTGGTCTCACTGCAAAGCTCAGCAGCTGCTGAGCTCACCAGAAACCAAGGAATAAAGGCTTTAAAAACAAAGGGCTTTAAGCTTTTGAAGCTTGTTTTCCTTCGGAGGGGTAAATGTAACTCACCCTTTCATTTAGAGACCCCCAGGAAATCACCCATCTCAAAATAACATCGCTCTTTCAAGTGAGGCAGAGCATGAACACGGGCTGGGATTGTGTTCCCAGGCGAGCACCCTGCCCACAAATTGCTGGTTACTGGCTCGGTGTCTTATTCTGCACAAAAAAGTGCAGGCTCTGAGCTTTTCCCATAAGGAAAAGCCAAATCCCATCGTCCCATCTGTCTTCACCAGGCGCTTCTGCCACCCCGAGAGAACATCTGAAAGCATTTTATATCTTAAGTCTCTTTTTAGCCCCTCTCTAAAGGGACCCATTTTGGTGGCAGAAGGGTCCTGCCCTGCCCAGAAGCTGAGCTCCCTCCATGCTGCCAGCAGTCAGGAAGCAATAGGAATTAGAATCCCAGACTGGTTTGGGTTAGAAGGGACCTTAAAGCTCATGCAGTCCCAACCCCTGCCACGGCCAGGGACAGCTTCCACTAGAGCAGGTTGCTCCAAGCCCCTGTGTCCAACCTGGCCTTGAACACTGCCAGGGATGGGGCAGCCACAGCTTCTCTGGGCACCCTGTGCCAGCGCCTCAGCACCCTCACAGGGAAGAGCTTCTGCCTAAGATGTAATAGGGATGGAGCAGATTGATACTGGGAGACTGGGAAGAAGGCAAGGAGGGTGCTGTGGGGTCCAGAAGGCACGAAAGGCTGGAGGGGAGACAGAAAACCCTATTCCCAGCCTAGAAATCCCACCCTGCCATGGACAGGAGAAGCCCAAGCTGCTCAGTGCACCACAAAGACTTGATTGTAGTGTTTTAATAGTGAAAGACTTAAGCACCATAAGGGTAGAAGCAGCAGTAGCTGTAAGCTGGAGCCAGCCTCTTCTAATATGAAATATAAATCCCAAAATCTACCTTTAACAGCATGGGTATTCACCATTGAGAAGAATGATTGGAAGAATGGGGGTTCTCCAGTTCCTGGTGCAGAAGCTGTAGGAAGGGGTTTGACTGAACAAGCTTTCAGGCTCAGTTTAGCAGCTGACACCGGCTGGCTGCAAAGTGCAGGAGGTCAGACAATACACAGAGCATCGCCCTGCTCTGTCCAGCCATGGAGAGACCCATGGGGCTCCTTCCTGGGGAGGAGCAGGAGAGGAAGCACAGCTGAGCAGTTAGTGTTTGTGTTTGCTCCTCCAGCAACAGGCACTTTGCCAAATGAAGGTTGTTCAGCCTGTGCTGACAGCTTGCTTTGAGCTAAAGCAGGTGACTTGGGGTCTTCCTGATGTGCAGATGGTTTTCTTACAGGCTCCTGCAGTTAAACACAGTTTTATTTAGTTCTCAGTGGCTGGGAATCATCACCCCCTCATCTGGGAGAGCTGTACAATATCTGACTGAAATCTGTCCTTGCAAATAGGCTAAACCGGATTTCACCTAAATCATATTTGATGCACAGCCCTTGCATCCCAGATGTCTGCTCCCTCTCCCTCCTTACCCTTCTCCAGGCTGGATACACAGCGATGCAGAGTCCACTTTGCCAGCAGCATCCTTCAAGTGACCCTAAAGGGGTCATCGCCCAACACTGCAGGGCAGCAGGACAGATCTGCCTTCAGAAATACATTTTTTTCCTGTTTACAGCCTACTCCAGAGCACAGAAAACACAGCTCAGTCCCGTGGTTTCCCAGGCTCAGAAACAGGATGATGAGGTTCAGCAGGAGGCAGAGGAGCATGCAGCAATTATAGAGGATAAACACAGCTCTTTACTGCACGCTGTCAAATGCCATCCTCTCTTGCAGCTCTAATCAGGGACACAAAGAGCCTCTCCTGCCAGCAGTGTGAAGAGGAGCATTTGAATGGGAAGCACAATTCACCTGGCTGGTGTTACTGGAGGAGCTGGACAAGCCTGGCCTTCCGGGCTTAATTTGGGAGCTCTGGCAAAGGTCGATCAGGGTTAGCAGGCAGGAATGGTCTGGTGCTCCTCATCGCTGGAGCAAGTGAGGTTGAGCCTTGCTGTGGTCCTCTCCCATCATTGTTTAGAGGACCTCTGTGGGAAGAGGAGCATTTTGCATCCTCTTTCTCTAGACCTGTGGTCCTTGATTTGATGCCACCCACGCCTGATGGGAGAACCTACCAAAGCCACCACAGCACAGGACAGAGGCACAGCCTGCCCAGGCCATGGCAGCTCAGCTCAATCCTCTGTCCAGAGCCTTTTGAAGAGCTTGGTGGTGAGCACATTGGTGCTGACCCCAGGGACCATGGCTAGGAGAACAGCCATGGGATGCACAGCCTCCATTTCCCAGCCCTCCATGAGCCCAGTTTGCATCCCTTCAACACTGAGGAAGCTGCCCCCAAGGCCAATCTTGTTTTGAGCTCTATTTCTTAACAACAAAAGTTTGTGTAACCTTGCACATCACCTTCCTTCCCTTTTCTTTGAGGACCTGACCCTGTGGGCTGGTTTCACTCCAACCTGGCAATGTTTCTGCTATTAGGAGCTTGCCAGCTGTGTGAAAATGGGGTTTGGGGCACATCAGACCTCCTCAAATCCCCCTTCCCATGCCCAGAGCATGAGCTCAGCCCTTCAGCAGCAAAACTGCACAAGGAAACAGACTCTGTGGGCTCCCTGCCCTGTGCAAGCTCCATAGGCAGCATCCCACTGAGCTGTGCAGGAGGTGGAGAGCCCTGGAGTGCTCCGCATCAGCTTCATGGTTAATTTACATGTCCCCTGGGGCGGCAGATGGGGGTACTGAGCAGAGCCGGAAGATCAAGGATGCTCAGATGCTCAGGTCTTATGCTTTGAACCTGTAGAGCATTTATTGCACCCCTGCCTTGGGTGGCACCTTGCGTGTACCAGCTCCTCCTTCACCCCAGCACAGCTGACCAAGACATGTGGTGAAACAGCCCCCAGGATTAGAGAGGTCAAGGGCAATCCCTGGAGCTTGCCAAGGCATCAGAGCCAGATGTGTCTTGACTCAAGCAGCAGTGTTGCTCTGTTGTTAACGGAGGAAAAGCAGCAGAGACCTGAAAAAGAGCTGCTTCACCCACAAACCCTGCAGCAAGTCACTGCCTTTCACTTGGATCTAGGGGAATCATAGAACAGTT